TTTTCCAGACTTACAGGGCTAGCAGGAGGACCCTTCTCTTGTGGCTCCTTTATCTTGAAATCACACTGGGAAGCACATGACTCCCTCGTGACCTCTACCTTGTTGCTCTTCTGCCCACAGGAGTACATGCAGTGCGTGACCGCTGTGGACGGAGAGTGGCTGGCGGAGCTTGGTCCAATGTTCTACAGTGTGAAGCAGGCTGGCAAATCTCGGCAGGTAAGCGTCCAGTGCTTCTAGGGAGGTGCTGTTTGCCTGAGGGAAAGATTTTCTTTCTGCCTGCTATAAAAGTCTTGTCATCCTTTGACCCCTTGCTTCTCTCCCCAGCTGTAAAAGCTGGGACCCAGCCAACCTCCCTTTCTGGTATTCTGCACTCCTCCAATTGGTTTGTTGGCTGGGTGGTTTTTACTTTTTAAACTTATTCAAAAGCTTCAGATACTCATAAAACTACACAAAATACTATAAAGAAATCACTGTAATTAGCTACATCTCTTTTTCTCTGTAATTGACATGTCTTTTTTTTTTTTTACCTACTTCCTCCTTATCCCTTTTCTTTCCAGAACACTTTAAAGTGTGCCTCCAGAGATGTTAGTTCATCCCTAAGTACTTAAGGATGAGTAGACTTAGTTCAGCGGCATCGCCTCTGGCCAGTGTCATTCCTAACAGTTAATCTTTAGTGTCACCCAAGTCTCCAGTTCCTAACCAGAGTTTCCTGTTTATCGGCAATAACATCTCACGATTGATTCACTTGAATTAGGATGGAGCATTGCAGGGGTGGTTATATACATTAATACCTTCGTTCTGATACGGAATCTGCTTTATCTTTTCATGACATGGATTTATTGGAGCAGTTGTCATCTGTCCCATAGAAGGTTTTGTAGTGTGCATCTGGCTGATCACTGCTTTTAGTGGGAGCTCACTTGTGGCTCCACCATGTGTACTTTGGTAGCTAAAGGCCTGTTAGTTCTGCTTCACCTGTGATGCTCAGATGCGTTTGTGGTCCTGGTTGTGTCAGCTTGCCTCTGTCATTTCCTCTACCCATGATTCCATCTCCAGGGTTTGGTGTCTACTAATGAACAACGCTTTAGTGTGTTATTTAGGAGTGCAAATGTGGCTCTGCTTTTGTATGCCCACTTTGTCACATAATTATCTCCACACGGGGACAAACACAGCTTCCTTTCTAGCCACAGGACAGTGTCTTCCTGATCTCTGTGGGCCTCCTGGCATGGTCGTTAACTCGATTAGAAGAACGTGTACTGGGCTGTGGTTGTAGTCAGTAGTAAACCACTGGCTTACACTCAGTCTTCAGTACTTCCAGGAGAAGAAAGAGAAACCTTCCTTGAGGTGGCCGTGGCAGTTGTTGGGGGTGGGGAGAAGGCTTAGTGGGTGAGAGTGTTTGCTGTACAAGCATGAGGACCAAAGTTCAAATCCCCAGCACTGTATAGAAAAAGCCATCCTGTCTATAACTCCATTATTGGGGGTCAGACAGGTCGGTCCTGGAGGCCCACCAGCCAGCTTAGCTGAAGGTTAGCCTTGATGAACTTGAGGCTCAGTGAGAGACCGTGTTTCAAGGGAATAACGTGGAGAGCAAGCAACAACCACCATCCTCCCTCTAGCTTGTGCATGAGTTTATCCAAATATATATGTGTACACACACACACGAAAAGAATGTCAGTACTTACTGGCTTGTGTGGAGAACTGGGGGGTGACTGGCTAAGACTGGACTATCCATCCAGTGTTGTGAATATTTGACAAAAAGTCCTGAGCTGTAGAAGGAAAGGTACACAGGCCTGGGTTCTTAGAGGTGGCCCCAAGCACAGATGCGGCCTCTGCAGCTGGTCCCTCTGTCTTTTCCTAGGAGAATCGTCGTCGGGCTAAAGAAGAAGCCTCTGCCATGGAGGAGGAGATGGCCCTGGCCGAGGAGCAGCTGCGTGCCCGGCGGCAGGAGCAGGAGAAGCGTAGCCCACTGGGCAGTGTTAGGTGAGGCTTGGCCTTAGGGAAGCATTCAGGGTCCCAGGCAGGTGCTAGGTCGGGTTTTAAGAGAAACTGTCAGTGTAAAGGGGAAATTGGTGCAGAAGTAGCTTTATGCTGGCTGGTCACCTGTAGAGGTAGTAGTTGGACAACTTGAAGGGACAACTTGGAATGTCCACTGTAGTTCTTGGTCATCAGCCTCTAGATTTAGGGCCCAAAGTGAGCTGGATTCTTTGGGGTGGATCCTACAGCCTTATTGTCAGGCAAGGGGAGTAAAAAAAAAAAAAAAAAAAAAATAGCAGACAGGTTGGGCAGTGGTGCACGCCTTTAATTCCAGCACTTAGGAGGGCAGAGTCAGGTGGATCTCTGTGAGCTTGAGGCTGGCCTTGTCTGCAGAGCTAGTTCCAGGACAAGCTCCAAAGCTACAGAGAAACTCTGTCTCGAAAAACCAGAAAAAACATATAAACAAAACCAAAAAAAAAAAAAAAAAAACCCAAAAATAGCAGGCAAAAGAGAGCCTTGTGCTGCTGTAATGCCTGGAGTTGGGGTGACCATGGCAACGAGGGCACTGGCCTGTCCTCACTTCACCCAGCAACAGCCAGTTTCCTCTTAATTATGGGGTTCCCATGGACTTGCTCTGTTTTCTGGAGAATTCTGGGACTAACTAAGGACAGAGTTCGGTAAATAGGTTTATTCCTGAAAGCAAACGAAATCAGCCAGAGGAGAGGTGTGTGGAAGGAGGGGTGAGTGGGTTCTAATGGGAAGACCCATTTGTCCTTGGGGCTGCTTTCCTGGCACTGGATTTGTGACAGTATGTCCTCACAGGTTGACAGGCACACGCCAGTGAAGTTTGGTGTTTATTTTAACTGAGTCCTAGGACATTGACACAGGTGGTTGAGTCATCGCATTGATGGTTGAACTCAGCCTCTGGTCCTCTCCCCACTCCACCCTCCGGGGCTTAGGCTGGTCAGAGCTTCAACTCTCAGCCCCTGACGGATCTTTTTGGCCAGGCATCTCCATCTTCCTCCAGGTGAACACAAACTATCAGGAGTGTTCTGAGGAACCTTTGTGAGTAGCAGAGATGCCCTGGCCACTTGCCTAATTCCTCCAGGAACTGGGTCAAGGACAAATGCAGGACTGGTGACCTTCTTATCTGGGGATCACAAAAGTAGTTTTCTAAAGATCCAATGTAAATGTTCCTTAATAGATGTCAGAGTGGAGCAACTTCCTTTTCTGTGCTCACTGGAGATGGGGAAGCAAGGGAGTAGAGTGTGTTATGGATGAGCTCCTTCAGCCTCAAAGCTGCTGTGCATTGGGTCAGAAACAGCAAGGCCTGAGTGGTCCTTCTGGGTCCCTGCCCAGAGAGAAGCATTGTTTCCTACCTCCTCTTTCTGTGTGTCCAGGTCCACGAAGATCTACACTCCAGGTCGGAAGGAGCAGGGGGAGCCCATGACACCTCGCCGCACACCAGCCCGCTTTGGACTGTGAGCTGAGGCTGTTGCAGGAGAGGCCGGCGGCCAGGTACTGAGCTCTAAGCTCTCCAGCCACAGTGCCCTACGGACACAGACACGGCTTTCATCTGTGTGTTCATCTAGTCTGGGGCAGCTCCTGCTGAGTCAGGCTTTGCCACTGGGAAGAGATGGTCCTGATGCAGGGCTGGGCAGGAACAGACTGCAGAGCCAATAAGCAGCTGCTTGAGCAGCAGGAGGTGGCTGGGCCATCACGTTCACAAAGCCTGTCCCTAGGACACTTGGCTTAAAGCGACTTGCTGGGACTGAATCTTTTTTAATCCTTGTGTAAAGTAGCAAGATAGAGGCAGAGGCACTTGTAATTTGGTTATCACCAGGGATTTGGAAATAAATATATTATTTGTAAAATGTGATTGCATTTTTAATTTCCTTTTTCTTTCTTTTTTTTTTTTTTTTTTTTTGGTTTTTCGAGACAGGGTTTCTCTGGTTTTGGAGCCTGTCCTGGAACTAGCTCTGTAGACCAGGCTGGTCTCGAACTCACAGAGATCCGCCTGCCTCTGCCTCCCAAGTGCTGGGATTAAAGGCATGTGCCACCATCGCCCGTTAATTTCCTTTTTCTTTCCCTGCTCAATAGGGACAGGAGAGGCAGATCCCTTGTCCTTCCCATCCTTGGGTAGATCTTTCTAGAACCTTAGCTCTGCTCTCTGTACATTTTGCTGATGGGGAAGCTTTCCTGGGGGCATGTGTACACATGTTCATGTGTTTATGTGCATACATGTGTGGTGTGCATGCCCATGGGCACATGTGAGGAGGCCAGAGATGTTCGCTATCTTATTTTTTCATAGATGCTGGGGATCTCAACCCATGTCTTCGTTCTCATGTGGTGAGCACTTCACTACCGAGCCACCTTCTTAGCCTCTAGGCAGAGATTCATAGAGGAGGTGTTGACTGAATGGGACCCAGCTTAGGTGTAGGGACTTGAGGGTGGCTCAGGGCATCCAGCACAGGACAGGCCATGCTCTGAATACCAGCTGTTTCTGAGGCTGGTAGGCAATGGTGAGGCCTTGCTGGCCTACTAAAGGGAAGGAGGGGAACAGGGTCCAGGTTTAGCCTTTCCAGGGTGGTGGTGGTGAGGGGGTGGCTTCTTTAAAGAGGGGCATGCTGTTTAGAGGCCCTCCTGCTTGCTTGGGAAATCTAGTCTTGGCCTGGGAGGGAGTCCAGAAAACGGCGGCTCAGTAGGGGATCCATTTACAGGCTCAAGTTCAGGATATACAGGGGTATAGGGAGAGTCTTAACTGTTAAGTTTTATGGCTGATAAGCGGAAACTGTGGGCACAAAACCCCTTATGTGCTCCTTTAGATGAGAGAAACAGAATATTATGAAAACTATGGGTCTGATGCAGCTTAATTTAAAAGTAAAGAATGCCCGGCCAAGGGCCCAGGTGCCGCAAGCAGCGTAGATAGCAGCCTGTTCCCGGAGGTCTGCCTGGCTATATTCTCAGTGCAGGGTTTCCCACATATAAAATATGGTCTATGAATAGATGTAATTAGTAGTCAGTTCTCTCCATTTCCCTTACTGAGGCAGGGTCTCTCTTGTCCTGCCATGCTGTGTGTTCCAGGCTGGTCCCTGAGCTTCCTGGTGAGCCTTTGTCTGCCTTCGATCATGCTGTAGGCATGCTGGGATTCCATGTGGCTGCCACCACATCCAGGAATGGAATTCAGGTATCCAGGTTTGCTCAGCAAGCACTGTAACCTGCTCTGTAAGTTGCTGTTCGGTTGCTGTGACTAAAATACCATTTACCAAGGCAACGTCAAGAAGAGTTTGTTTGAGGGATCGGAGACCGTCATAGGCGGAAGTATAGCAGCACGTGGTAGGCATGGTGGCGGGAGCAGGAAGTTGAGGTCATGTCTTTAAATGTAAGCAGGAAGTAGAACAAGCAGGAAGTGGGATAAGGTTATTAATTCTCAGAGCCCACCCCAAGTGACACACTTTCTCCAGCAAGGCGGCACTTCGTAGACTTCTCCAGACAGTGCCAGCAACCAGGGACAGATTGTTCAAATATCTGGGCCCATGGGGGACATTTTTATTTGAACTGCTACACCTGCTGAGCCTTCCTGCCAGCTCCCCGCTCTAATCTGGGTATCTTATTTCTTTTTCCCATCTAAGCACTCTGGCTCCAGTTACTAGAACTGTGTTAAATACAAGAGGCACAAGTGGGCATCCTTGTTCTCAATCTCAGAGAAAACCCTTAGCTTTGACCGCCAAGCTGTGGGTTTACAAAATCTATTTCCGCAACCATTTCTTTTCCGTAGCAGATCCTAAGTGGTTTTGTAGAGACTGACTTCGTTGGTTATTTCTTAAGGAACATTTAGCGGCCCTGTCTTTCTCCGGCATTCTCTAAGTCTCTTCTCTCTGCCTAGACAGATCTTCCGCCTGCCTGAGCTTTCACAGCAAGGTGACTGGGTACAATAGTAAAAATGTTTCCGTCTCCTTGCTTCCCACAATGCTCCCCTGATTTGATCTGATATAATCACCCCCGCAGAGAGTGAGAGACGGCTTTGAGTAACTATGCGACATTCACAGTATCCAGAGGTTGCAATTTTGACTGACGTATATGAACTCCCTTCTTGAAATATGGAGATAGGCCCATCTTTTTAGTAGACTGGACTGTGGACTTTCACGTGTTACCAACCTGATATCAAGCTATTCTTTTTTCTTTTCTTTTTTTTTTTTTTTTTTGGTTTTTCACAGAGATCTGCCTGCCTCTGCCTACTCAGTGCTGGGATTAAAGGCGTGCGCCACCACTGCCCAGCTGATACCAAGCTATTCTAAGCCCCAAGTTGGGGACAAAGTCAGAAGACCTTTAGCAGATGGACATCAAACACCACAAGAGATGTTTCCAGAGCTTTTCAATACCCGTTTCTCTCTGCACACAGGAGTTTAACCCTCCTGCATCCCGGCGAGGCCTGAGTAGTGCGTTTTCTTGGCCTTGGTTTGGCCGAGAGGGAGGCAAGAGTATCTGAGAGCCACTGCCTGCCAGTGTGCCTCTTCCCTCTTCCCACCTTCTCAGAAGGGCAAGCTCTTCCCTGTCTTCCTCTTATTTTACCCTGGTACCTATTTGTCTCTATTTCCTATAGACTGAAATATAAATTCCAGACATGTGCTCCGCTTAACAAAATCCTACCACAATAAAGTGGTTTAGCTGTCCTTGGAGTTTGTTATAATGGAATTTTCCTTGTATTGCTCTGGCTAGGGAGAAAAGTAAACTTGTTAAAAGGAGGAATGTAATATGGCAGCCAGGAGGAAGCAGATGGTGTGCCCGCCCTTCCCCACTTGGAAAAACACATCACTTATTTCTCGCACTTTCTTTTGGGTCCTAGCATTGCTTTCCTTTTTGGGGGAAATAAAAGGTTTCTAGATTTTTTTTTTTAATTCCAGACAGACATTAAAGTGGGGGGCTAATTCCTTCTTGTTGGTTTAAAAACCTAGTCCAAGTAACCCAAAGGCTGGCTTTGCAACCCTTTCTCCTACAGAAGTGAAGGGACCAGAACGTTTAGGCATCTGGTGAACACAGGCACAAGCAGGTTGCTGGGGATGGGCTGTGCAGAGACACCAGGAGCTCATGGAAGTTGTGTGGTCTGGGTCTTTATTTCAGAGTCTGGGCCTGGAGGTGGGAGTGGGGTATCCGAACTCACTCCACTGCAGGAAGTAGACAAACTCAGTAAAGCAATAATAATGTCTTGTAAACCATACAGGGGCTTCGATGGATGACTGTAGGAGCTGATACTGGTCAAGAAGGAGGGGCAGGAACTCGATGTCCTCTGCAAATGTGTAGGGATGGGGCTGAGGGCGAGTAGCCCAGTCTAGCAGTAGGAGGAGCCTGGGGGAACAGGGAAGAAACGAAAGCTTTAGTTTGAGGAGAAACGAACAAGTGACTTCTTGAGGACCAACATCATGGCTGGACCAGTGTCATGGCCAGATAGCTCTGTTGTAGGGTGACAGCCCCCTTCTGAGGTTTTGTGGAATAAAGAGGTGGTAGGAACAGTAGGCATAGGTCTGGACTGAGTGGAGGGCTGGGATACTCAGTCTGTGGGGTGTCTAGAAGGAAGAAGTCTATTTCTCCCTCCCTCTTTTCCTTTCACCCCGCAATGGGACTGAGTCAGGAGGAGACAGATCTGTGATGTGAGGTACTGGGGTATCACCAAAATTCTCAGATCTGAGGGATGGTAATTTGTCTCCTTCATCTACAGGTGTGGAAGGAATGGTCACTGTGAACGAAGGTCTCTAGTAATATTTTTCCTGCATGAATTCTAATCCAGTGTATCTTTGGAGAATGATGTCACAATATTGCTGTTTTGGTTTAGGGGTCAAAGGAGACATCACAGCAGCAGAAAGCAAGGGGCACACGTACCTGAGCAGTGGGGCGCCCCGATGTACTTGGTGATGTCCGTTTTCGGCGTCACGTCCTGGGCTATTCCTCTCCAGCCCAGTGGGTTGCAAATTTTCCCCTTTTGGGAGGGTTCCAGTTTGCAGGGGCCGAGGGCTTTGGCACAGATCCTCGCATTTCCGGTCTTTAACTTCTTCTCTTCTATTTCATTCTTCAGCTTTTTGTTTTCCTGCTGCAGGTGGACCATTACATTGTGGAGCTGGCTGTGGGAAGGAGAGGAACGTGAGGAGGGCAGGTGGCTGTTTGTCTGTTTGCAGTGCTTGGCTCCTTGCTGGAAAGAACCCAGAGGGTGCCACAGGAGAGGGCTAAGGAGGGTTCTCACATTTATCCTGTGCAAATGGAGGCCCATCTGAGTCCCATGGAAGCAGCTCAGGCCTGGGGGTGAGGAAGACCTAGGAAGAGGGCCCACTCTGTCCGTTCTGGGCCTTTGTCTACGTTTTTTGATGGGGACAATTAAACCCGCCTTGTCTGGGGTTCATGGAAGGATTCAGTTTGATAAATGATGGAAATCTGATAGACAAACCAGAAGGCTGATCTGGGAAGTTCTGACTGTGTATGCTCATAGCTTTGTCTGGGAAATGCGTTCAGCCGAAGCTAGCGCCCTACTTCTCTCTGCTCCCCTTTCTGAAGAGTAGCGAGTACAGGGTTCCTACCTCTGTAGAGAACATGGCCAAATTTCTTCTTCCCATTTTTCAGGTGAGTTGGTGGAGGCAGGGGTATAGGGCAGAGGAAAGATAATTTAGCATCTTCCATGCCTCAATAGGTGGCAACTATTATCAACCTATGGATTTCTCCTAACTAGTCTTGAGAGCAGCGGATGATGGAAGACTATGGGGACAGGGGAAGACACCCAGCCTCCCGGACCATTTCTCTCCTCCTACAAATGCCTCTGTCACCACAGGGAGACCCTGGCTTGATGCTTCAACTTAGAATATTTTTGGCTTCATAACATATACATTCAATCGGAAACTGTACTTTGAATTTGGACTTTTTTTTCTCAGACAGGCAAGATGTAGCCTAGGCTTCTTGGGAGATGCTGGGAAGTGTTCATGGCTTCAGCTTCCAGTTAGCCACAGCCATTGCTCTACAGGCTACCATGGGACTAAGCTGCTACAGGCCGTAAATTATGAGCAGTAAATTCACGCTTGGCCGGATAATATTTCCAACTTACAATGGATTTGTCCAGACACGGCCTCACCTTAAGTCAAGGAGAGCCTGCATTCTCAGCTCATGAGGTCTCAGGAAGATTAAATAAGTCAATGTGTGCAGAACACTTAGAACTCTGCTTCCCACATGCTGAATAACACATATTAGTTGAGCTAATGTTATATTTATTATTAAAAGATGGTTTTCCTCAGATAAGACCAAGGAAGTTCAAGAATGAGCATCTGGTGAGATGGCTCTTTCTGGCACTTGGTAAAATATAAGGAAAAGCCTGGAGTTACCTGTTACTTTATAATTTTTTTGGCCATCCTAGGGATTGAGCCTAGGGCCTTACTCAAACCATGTGAGTATTCCACCACTGGACCATATCCCTAACCTTTTTCTTCCAATTTACATTCTTTGAGACAGGGTCTCATCAAATTGCCCAGGCTGGCCTTGAACTAGATCTATAGCCCAGGCAGGCCTTGAACTTATGGTGGTCTGTGCTACTGGGTATGGGCTTTCAAGGTTATGACAACCATTTTTTTAAAATTATTTTCATAGAATGTTTTTTTCCATTAGAAAGAATCATGGTCCATTTTTGGAAATCATGTGACGGGTTGGATCCTCAGCCTCTTCTGGTCACATCCTTTACCCACTTTCTCTGGAGATCCGGCCTCTTCCCTGGGGGTCCCCCAGTCCACGTGCCTCTGGGCTGGAGGCCAGGTCTGCTATGGCCTCCATTCCCTGGCTCTCTGTCCCTCTCTGTGTCAGCGTATCTTCCGTCTTGTACATCCCGCACAGCCCAGCCTACTCTGGGTCTGGGTTTCTTGTTCTCCACGTGACAGTTCTGTTCTGTCCTTCAACTCCTGATCCAGCGTATGGTCAAAGCCCAGGGCAGAGCTGGCTCCTGGGAGCCACACCTGGATGCCAGGCGTGCAGAGACACTGACATCCTCAGTCTTCTCAGCAGAATTTGAGGTGACGGCTGCTTGGCCAATGCTATCACAAGCAAGCCCTCTCCAGACCCTCCTAGAATGCCAAACTTGGCAGGTTCTGTGCCCCTGGAAAAAGCTTGGGGAAACACCGTCCTAGGCCCTGGCTAAAAGATTCTGCCTTTGGATAGCTCTTTCTTCTCCTCTGTTCTCTGACTTCCTGTAGTCCCAGGCCTCACTCTCAGTGGGCAGACCTTTGCCCAGGTGGTGAAGCGGGATCACGAGGGAGAGTGGAGTTCTTGAGGACAGGAACCCCAGGTTCTTGGGGACCAGGTGAAGCAGAGGAACCCTTAACCTGGACTTCCCACCCCGAACTGTTCCACAGAGAGCCATGGTTTCCGTGCTCCTTCATTCACGGACCTCAGCTATAGCCGCTTAGTCCCTACAGCCTGCCGGCCTGCCAGCCTGTGCCCACTCCTGTCTCAATGCTCTCGGCCTCTGAAAACCACAGGTGCGTGGGGGAAGGAGGTGGGAGGTTTCGTCCCCTCACTGGGGGGCTGTTGAGGGAGAGAATGATGGTCCAGCACAGTCATGTGACATACCAGTGATGCATAGGAACTGATTCAGGTCTCAGGGTCCTTCCAGATCGTTCTGTTGTTCTAGGGGCTAGTCCCCATACAGAATGTAAGTCGGCCGGGGGTGGTCCCAAGAGGCAACAACGCAGGGAGGACAACTTACTCCTTTTCTCCGGTCAGCTTGGCGATGTATTTCACCTGTTCTCGTAGCTTGTTCCCCAGTTTCTCATTGGCAATCCTGTAACAAAACACACAGGGAAAGAATGGCTCTTCCCTAGATGGGTGAGAAGTTGACCGATGGGCACCGGTCCTTCTCAGCAAGGGTTTCTGCTTGTTTCTTGGCCCTCATCACTTTGTCCCTGAGCCTTGTGAGTCCTTGTCAGCTGAAGACTCCCATTCAGACGATTTCAAAGGAATGGGTTCAAGGCATCCACGCGAAGATGGATCCCAGCTTGGGTCGAGGAAGCGTATAGCTCAGCAAAGTACGCCTTGCTTCTGATGTGGCTCTGCCCGTGTGTGGCAGGCTTTGCAAACCTGCCTGGAGGGGTGTGACCCCTCTGATTCCCAACCCTTGTGTGTGGTGAGTTCTTGGGCAGGCACGCATGGTTTAGTCACTGTGGTTCTCAGTTCAGCCTGGCCTGGGGACCCGCCCTACTGTTGTGGGTGACACTCACTTCTGCTCCTTTGCCCACTGCTCCATGTTGCACATAATCTGGTCATTGTCCCAGTGGAGCCTGCAGGCGTCTTTGATTGTCCTCGGGGGCAGGCAGCATGGCTTTGCATACAAGAAGAAAATGAGACGGGATGGGGACACCCACGGCTACCTCCCTCCCCGAAATCTGGATTTTTCTTTCTGAGAGAAAAAATAAAATCAACTCTGCTGCCCAATTTGAGGACAGAGTTGCCACGTGCAGGACCTTCCTTCCACACAGCGGTGACACGCCTGAGGGGCGCCATTCATCACAGACACAGTAGACCCGTACGCTCACCTTGGCGGTTCTCAGACTAATGGCAGCGAAGTGACTTGTTTTAAAACAGTATTCTGAGCTGATGTCACCACAAAGGGAGGAATTGAGGGGAAAATGAGATGCTTTTTAATTTGAACAAGGGCCCTGTGGCTACCCTAAGATGTCTCAAGCCTTCATGGCATGAATGGCACTTCTTGGGATGCTGGAAGTGGGGGCATATCTCAAAGACTGCTTCACACGTTGGATGACAAAACCTGGCAGGATGTGCCCAGGAGAGGAGGGCTAGGGCTTGTGAGTGGCAGCTGAGGGACCTGACTAAGTCTTGCTGGTAATATCTATTACCAAAACCACAGGAAAATAGGTGAGTTGAGAGGTAGCTGGAAGTATCCTGATTCTGCTTCCTGCAGAATTGTGTGTGTGTGTGTGTGTGTGTGTGTGTCTTGTTCCTGGCATCCCCAACAACTCCCCAGTCTTGAGGGGTGGAAAGCAAGTGACAGAGTCCAAACAGTGCCCACCTCCTTCTCATCCGCAAGGAGGTTCTCTTTCAGGGTGGCCATTTCTTCCTGGAATTCCCGGAGCTGCGTCTCCTTAGCGGCCAGCATTTTGAGGTCACTCTGATGCTGCTTCTGCCACTGCAACACCTGGTTGCTCATCTCTTCCAGTTTCTTATCAAAGGTGTTTACCTGCCCCGGGAGTGCAAAGTGAGGGAGTGGGCAGGGGCGGGCCCAGGCAAGGTGGAGGGTACCCTCTCCACTGGAAGTGTGGTTTGGAGTGTCTGTGCCTTTTATTTCCAGTGACCAGCAGAGGGCGCCCCTGCTCCGACCTTCTGGCCTGCCTGTCATTCCAGAAGCAGGTGGAGTGAACCTCTTAGCCAAAGGGTATGGTTGGGCGCTAAATAATTCTGCGTGCCAAAGGTGACCTTGTGGACCTCTAAGAGGAAGACAGCCTGAGCCCCCAGCCTCTCACCTCTAGCTCACTCTGCTGGTGGAAGCCCTGTAGCTTTTTTAACTCCACGTTGAGCTTTTTCATCCTTTCCTCATAAGCCATGATTTCATCTTCCAGCTGTGCCTTCCTCTCTTGGGCCTGTTGCAAGTTGCGCTGCAGGCTCTTTGTCTCGGAGGTCGCTTGAGTGAGCTTCCGGCAAAGACAGAGTGCATTAGAATGGCCACCAGGGCCCTTGACCTTCTCTGCCAAGTCTTTAGTGCAGAAGGTTCCAGGCCCTCCCCCTCCTCTGCCCACGATGGTGCTGGTGTTCCAAAGGGGTGGGGGGAGACAGAGGTTGGCTTTCTGTGCCACCCTCCTGGGTTTTTATTCCCTTCTTCCAGTTCCTTTCTTTCTACATGTATCCACTGATCTACAGAGGATGCATGGATTTCCCTGACAACTCAGGCTTTGGGACAAACCCTGTCCCTGAATCACTCATGAGTGGGAAGATTTGTTAGACAATGCCGTCTCTGCCACCTCACAACCAATACAAGGGCAGCAGCATACAAAGCAAAGAGGAAGGAGGTCTTCATTGTGCAGACACCCCTATCTAGGCAAGGGTTGAGAAGCCCTGAGGATTGTCAGTCTTGTAAGGAATTGGCTTCTGCCCACTCAGAGTCCCTGAATTTCTTGGACTACTTCCTGGGTGAAGAGTGGGTGTGGCCTCACCTTCTCCAGGGCTTGTGTCAGGTCGTCTTGGCAGACACCCGACTTCCGCAAAACCTCTTCGTAGGTTTCTTTGCTGACCATGTTCTGGAGGTAGTTCTTCTCTTTCTGGATGGCTGCGTCCAGCTGTGTCTGCAGAATCATGATGGAGTCTTTCTGGCGGGCTATCTTTAGGGAACAAGAGCATCACTGTCAAGGCTGTTCCCGGCCACAGATGTGTGACTGCAGGAAGTAGACAAGAGCTGGGCTCTGCCGTAAGCGCCTGGGTATCTGTGTTCATGCTCATATCTTCATCTCACTGTGAGGAAATGCAAGCTCTTCCTGAGCTTCCCTGTATCTCTCCAGCCATGTCTCGCTTTCTGGGTACCATGTCTCCAATAGAAGCAGAACTGGGACATACTAACTTCACGGAATATGTTTCACAGATACAAAGATGTCAGTCTGGGCCAGGGAGGTAGCCTAGTCCTCCCTGTGAGGACTTGAGTTAGGTTCCTAGAACCTACTTAAGAAAGGTGAGTTTTGGGGCTGGAGAGATGGCTCAGTGGTTAAGAGTACTGGCTGCTCTTTCGGGAGACCTGGGTTCAATTCCCATTACTCACATGGTCCTCTATAACCATCTGTAACTCCAGTCCTGGGAGATCTGATATCCTCTCCTGGCCTCCACAGGCATTGCATACATGTGGTACATAGACATACATGTAGGTAAACCATACATACATATACATAGGCTTAAAAAAAAGATGCTGGGCATGGCAGTGTGCTCTTACAATTAACCCCAGTGCCAGAGAGGTAGAGACAGGTGCATCTCCGGGACGCAAAGCAGACTAGCCCTTTTGGTGATCTTTAAACCACTGGGGGACCCTGTCTCAGAAAGAGAACTAGAGACAGACGACCCCTGAGGAGTAGAGCTGAAAGCTGTCCTTTGGTCTCCACATGCATGCATCCCCACGTCCACGGACACATGTGTGCACCAGTACACACTCTAGAACCAACACCAGGCTGATGGATACGATACAGCATTGTAGAGTACTGATGGTACTGGCTTCCGCCCTCCGCGATCCCGAAAGCGAGCGCTCTCTGTGATAATCAGCTCCGAATATTGGCTGAGACCCTGACTCATGCTATGATCACGCAATGATTATCAGCTGCTTGCATATGCGTGGACCTGTGGGCAGTGCCCACCTGGCAATTCGGGGTTGGCGGCCCGTGCCTTTTTAAGGGCTGGGAGAGGTTTGCCCTGAGAGAGAGAGAAAAAGAGAGGCAGGAAGAGCTCCGGTGTCGCCTCATCCTTGCCCCCGGTTGAGGTGGGCGTGACACAGCATGTCTCTGACCCAGCCCTGTGTGCGGTCTACAGAGGAAGTCACCTCTTCCTCCTGTTGCTGTCCCCTCGGGCACAACACACAGCAGCCACACAACAGTCATAGAAGAAATGTTAAGTCAGTGGTGGAATGTAAAGTTACATTGTCTGTTTAGAGATTCAAATATTGTGTGGTTCAAGGGGCTCTGCTGCACTCAACTCAGGCAGCAGTGTGTTTAAAACAACTCTGCGTCTTAGCCTCGGCAGTGAGCGTACAGGGTGGTTAAAGGCAGTGGAGATGCGGTCACAAATCCGGCTTGAGGTCCAGGTTCTGTCATTTATTTCTCGGGCCTCGGGCCTTTCTCCACAGACCGGGAACCTCTGAGGTTCTTTCACACGGTGTTGGCGATGGCCAGATGAGATGGTGCCTGTGGAGAGGCTTTGCGCTGGGCGCCTGAGTATGGTTGGGAATCATTAAGAGTAAAGTGAGGGGGCTGGAGAGATGGCTCAGAGGTTAAGAGCATGGGCTGCTCTTCCAGAGGTCCTGAGTTCAATTCCCAGCAACCACATGGTAGCTCACAACCATCTGTACTGAGATCTGGTGCCCTCCTCTGGCGTGCGGGCATACATCGAGGCAGAATGTTGTATACATAATAAATAAATAAATCTTAAAAAAAAAAAAAGAGTAAAGTGAGGCTTCTCCTTGTAGATCTGAAGCCTGGGACAGAGATCTGTTTCTAAGTCTGGAAGCGGAAGGATAACCTTCAGAATGTGTGGCCTCTGAGCCATCCTCGATTCCTTGCTTCTGCTCACAGTCAGTACTTCAGCCAGTCTTCCCCAGAGACAACCTAATAGCCTGCACATCCTCCCAACTGGTCTCCTCACATCTACGCTTACCCCTCCCCCGGCCCATGTCCACACACTAGTCAGAGTCTCATGTGTCTTGTCTCTGAGGAAATTCTGTCAGTAGCCTTTCATTGTTCTTTAAATCCAACTCAATTTTAACAGAGGCTGTGAAGTCTTCCTCTACTTATCTCTCCAGCCTTATCCTATACCAATGGTTTTTATCAATAGATTCCAGTGGCACTGGTTTGATTTCACTCCCGAGATTACTTTAAGGATGTATTTAACAGAGAGGTACATGATACACAACCAGGACTCAAACTAGAAACACAGAGATGAGCCAAAATTGTGATTACGTTTACCATTGTATTAAGGAGAAAGATGGCACTATTATTTTAACAGAAAAAAAAAAAAACCCTAGGCACCTGTCGGAATTCAACACCCTGTACTGAACTGACAAACCTCTTAGTACCTGAGAAACTGAAGGAACTAGAGATAGAGGTAGCAAGAAGCCCAGAGGGCACATTGTGCTGAAGCAGATGCATAACATTAACAGTAAAGAACAAGATATGTACTACCGCAGCTGTCCAATCTCATACTGGAGATACTGTCCAACGTGACAAGGCAAGAAAAATAAAACAAGACTAGATATTACAAAGAAATGTTTAGGAACCTTGTTATTTACAAATGACTTATCTACTAAAAGTAACTCATAGACTCCAGGAGTTTGAGGATAGCCTGCACTCTATAGTGAGACCCTGACTCAAAGTTCACAAGCCCAGCATGTAAAAGGCCTGGGGCTTGATCCCTAACACTGCATACACACACATACACAAACACACACTTTGTGAAAATAAACTGAGACTATTACAACTTAGAAGTAAAATTACTAAGATATTCAAACACAAAATTAATAGATTCAAATGGATGAGGTTCTGCACTAATATTAAAAATAATAAAATACAGTGGGAATGTGATATAATCAAATAAATGGGAAAGTCTTCTATCTATTTCTTTTATCTTCAAATAGCAAAAAATTGAAAATAAAATATGGAATATTGGCTAAAGGAAGCACATGTTCAGAAGCAAACCTCAGCTTTTTTCTAATAGCTATTTCAATTGATTCAGTGTGTATGGGAAATGCTTTTTAAAAAGTTGAACATTAAGAAGTTGAATATATTTACACTCTAAAAAAAAAAAAACAAAAAAAAACCCAAATCCTTCTTACTATCTGGGCAAAGGAATTCCAGTATTGGTGCTCTTGCTTCCAAATCTACATGGCTAATTTCTGCCACCAGGCTCATACAGAACACTTAACAGCGTTTCTTCAGTGGATGGAGGGCTCTCAGGGAGCGGAATGACTGAGACCTCACGGTTCGCCACTCCAGGGGACAAAACTCCGAGAAGGCCAGTACTCGAGACTGTGCCGTCTGAACTTAAAAGTACAAAGTCGTTAGTTCCTCAGCTCTCAGTGGCAAGATGTGCCCAGTGGTCAGCTCAGAGTTGTCATTTTTCTGCCGCCACAGCGGCCCAGAGTGCTGTTGGGAAAGCTCATCTTAAGCTTTGAATAGTCATAGGATTTCAGATCTTTTTGTATTATGAAAGATTAAGGGGTGCCTGGGTTTCCATTTGTAGCTCAAGAGACTTGTCTTCTAAGCACTATATATATATATTTTTTCTTGTCCAGAAAGGTATACTATATTCCACTGGGGAAAGCATCACGGTTTGTGCTGGAAAAAAAGGACAGGCTTCAGAGTTGGATGATCCAGGTTCAAACACTGGTTCGTCCTGCCGCTTACTAATTAGTGGCCCTGGGATTCGGCCTTTCTTCCCTTTGTAAATGGGGATCACAGTGCCGTATACTTTGTTAAGAGGAAAGCAGAAGGCAGGTATGTAAAGAGAATGGCTGAATTCAAGAGCGGTTCCTAGAATGTCCCAGCCCCGTGACTTTCACTTGCATAATGATGGACCGAAATGACCCTCGCCTAGCACCTTCTGTGACTTGCAATTAGTTTTGAGAATATTCCCTCTCAAGTGGCTCCAAACAATTAATCCACTCAGTTCTTTGTCTAATTTCTAATGCGGAACATTCCAGGAGTTTGGGGTGGGGGCTCCCCCAGTACGAAATGAAACCTGTTACTTAAGAAAGAAAAAGTTTTCCCCCTCAGGGTCTGCAGCCATCTCCCACCCATTACGGGACAGAGACGAGCTGCAGGGCCTCAGGCGAGCACAGGCAGCCAAGCCCGAGATGCGAAGTCAGGGTCCTTCTTTGGGGTTGCCGTCTACTCACCTCTACGTTGAGCTCCTGGATGACTTTCTGGGAGTTGTTGTATTTGTTGATGGTGGACTCCAGGTGTGAGGAACAGGAACTGAGCTCCGTCTGCAGATTCTCCTTCTCTTCCTCCAGCTTCCTCACCTGCTCTTTGGCCTGCTCTCCCATTAAACAGTGAAGCCCGCCCCCACCGCCAGAGCAGGGGGTTAACTTGAGCCTCCTGTCCTTCCTGCCTCTCCCTCCTCCTCCTCCTCCTCCTCCTCCTCCTCCTCCTCCTCCTCCTCTTCCTCCTCCTCAGGCCTCTTCACCCTCCCCCCTGTTGTCTCCCTTCCCTCCCTCCTCTCCTGAGCCCCCAGGCTGCCTTTCACCTCCTCAGCTCCAGGTTCACAGCCTGTGCTCTCCAGGTCCCACCCTCTCACCATCTTTTCTTTCTTTTTTGCTTCCTGTCGCAGAGCCTCAATTTCTCCCTCCAGGGCCTTTTCCTGTTCCTTGCTCCTTTTCAGTTGTTCCCGTTTCTCCTCCAGCAACCCTTTTATCTCCTGAAGTTCCTCTTCCAGCTTGTTTTTGGTGTTTGTTAGCTCTCTTTGCTGAGGGGGGGAGGAAAAAGGCCAAGCTGCAAGACAATCCTACCCTGCTATACGTGGGAAAAGAAATCCAGACAGTTCTACCCAGGAAGGGTGGAAACAAACGTGAGGGTTATTTCTTAGCACCCCCACCCCCCAACACACTCGGTGGGAATGTTTGCTCTAATACTCTGTTTAATTCTTTAACTAAACCAATGTATGGACCCAGTTCCTATAATGTTGACTTTCTTGCCCTCTAGGCCAACTCTTTACATAAAAACCTCTTGGAATAAAGTAAATCTTAGAAGAACACTACAGGAATACGTGAGAGATCAAAGACTGTCAACGGATGGACAAGGATGGCCTGTCGGTCTTCAGAAGAAGAGCAGTAGAGGCTGGGGACACAGGTCAGTGGGCAAGCATTGACTGCAAACAAACACATGAATGAACCAACAGCGGTTTGAAGGTGAATGTTCCTCATAGGCTCCTACATTTGAACACCTCGTCCCCAGTAGTTGGCACTGTTTGGGGTGGGGTGGAGGTTAGGAGGTGTTGCCTTGCTGAGGGGAGTATGTTACTAGTGACTGAGCTTTAAGAATTTAAGGCCTTGGGGCTGGAGAGATGGCTCAGTGGTTAAGCTCTTCCAGAGGATCCAGGTTCAATTCCCAGCACCCACATGGCAGCTCACAACTGTTTGTAAATCCAGTTCCAGGGATTCTGACACCTTCACACCAATGCACATAAAATAAAGTTAAATAAACCATGAAAAATATTTAAAAAAAGAATTTACCTGCTTTGTGCTTATGGTTCAAGATACAACTTCACAGCATCCTGTTCTAGCCGGCATGCCTGCCTATTCCCGCCCCTGCCCCTCTGATGGACTCGAACCCTCTGCAAGGTAAGCCCAAATAAACTCTTTCTTCTATAGGTTTCCTTGGTTGTGGTGTTTTATTGTAGCAATAGAAAAGCAAGTAATACAACAATTTACATTGTCCTCTGGGTGTTTTTAAGCCTAATCCTTGAACATGCTTATGACCGGTCATGGGAACTGGTCCTGAGTGGCTGGTGTAACAGTCTAACACAAGTTCTGGGAAGTTACTAGAGCCTGGCCTCCTTGGCCTCAGGCAGGCCAGATAGCGGTAGTAGCTTTCTGCGCGCGCTCTTACCTTTTGCTCAGCGATTTTGGCGGCCCCCAGCAAGTCGTTTATCCTTTGTTCGCTCTCGTTTAGCGTCTTCTTGAGCAGCATCTTCTCATTGTCGGAATTCGTCAGCCGCCGCTGGCTCTCATAGAGTTCCGAGGTCAGCTCCTCTATCCGTTTCCTGAGCAGGGTGAGCACAGGACCAGCTTCAGGGCCTGTGTTGATGGATAGCGGAGACGGTCCCTCCCTGGGGCCTGTCACGTCACTATCTCACTCTGGGCCACTGCCAACCTGGGGTCCAGGGATGGGGGTGGGGGTACCTGTTGCCTACTCTCTCCTTTTCAGCTGCTTCAGCCTCCTCTTGCAGCTTCTGCAGCTGACCCTGCAGATCCTTGATGACGTCCGCCTTCTTCTTGTCCAGGAGAAGGCAGTTCTCGATTTTCCGGTGAGCGTCCTCTAGGTTGCTACCAGCCTGCTGTGCCTCCTCCTTACACTGGGCGAGGTTCTGATCTGAAGAAGCCAAGGAGGGTTCCGTGAGATAGGCAACCCATGGGACTCTCAGTCAGGACTCACTAGAGACTAAGCCTTATTCTGTGACGGTCTTCCGTTCCTAGCCTGTCCTCACCTCTCCCGATGCCAGCATAGGTCTGAAGGAGCTCTGTCTTTAACTGCCCTTCAGCCTTGGATTCCTTCCTGGCTAAAATTAAATAAATTGGTAGCAATCATTCAGCACCTCCGACTAATTCTGTCATTAGGGACAAATCCCAGTCCTCAAGGAGTTTAGTCTGGTGAGCCTATGATTACCCATCCATTATAGAGAACACTGAGATGTTATTGATTGATTTATGTTTTGGTGCTGGGGACCAAGCACAGGCAAAGCACATGTTCTACCACCAAGCTCCATCCTGGCCTGAGAATGCTGCAATGCTGAGCTCACGCTGCCCACGAACTCAGCCGTGAGAGCTGCGGGTGGACTTATGAAGAGGGGGAGAAGCTGACTCAGCCTTAGAAGGAGGAGGAATGCGTTTCGGGGAGGACTTATTGGAACAGACGTGCCGGGGCAATGTGGAAAGAGCATGTGGGTGAAGGATGGGAGGAGGTCAGCTGAGTTGGGATGGAAAGTGGGGGGATGGTAGGCTGCAGCTGAGCAAGAAGGTGGATCAGAGAGGGCTCAGAAGATTGACAGCATGGGAGGAATGGTTAGACTTGAAGCAGTAAGCAGAGACCCATGTAAGGGAAAGAGAACATTGGGAAAACCACGATGCAATTTAGATATGGTGGTGTATTTTGGAGGCAGAAACAGGAAGTGCTCCACGGGATCAACCTGGTGTAGGTAGTGAGTTCCAGACCAGCCAGAGCTACACTGTCTCAAACAAACAAAAACAGGATGCATCCAATCAGAGACGACCTCCAGAGGTAGCCTTTCATCCCCCTGCCTCCACTGAGGGAAGACGCCCTGCTGTCATTGGGGGTCATTTTGGTGGAGTGTGTCTCCTCCTCACCCCACAGGCATTCTTTCAACTCTGTTCTCTCATCCCTTCCTTGAAGTGTCCTATTCTGGTATACCGAAAGAAAGATAGCATCACGGAAGAAGTGACCATACATCAGACATTTTGTAAAAAGAGACAGGAAGATTAAACACACACACACACACACACACACACACACACACACACACACAAGCACTTCCATTTTGGGAAAAGCTGAGAGGATGATACGGAGGAATGAAGGAAAGCTGTTCTTCCAAGGCAGGAAGCTACCGAGGGGACTCTAAGGTAGTTACAGGAGGAGGAAGCTCACTGAGGAATGAGAACATGGGAGGGAGGAGAGGGGTGGGGACAGTGCTTGCGGGGTGGATGGCTGGTCAGAGCCCAGAGGAAAGGAAACAACTGTGAGGTCTGTGTTGGACTGAAAGTCTACAAAGCTGAGGACTGAGGGTGGGTGGTTAACGTTGTCAGGACAGAGCCGGGGGAGAGGAGCCAAGCTGCCGATCTTCTGATATTGACCTCTTTAGAGTGGTGAACACAGTGGGTTTTAGTGAGCTCATGAAGCTGTGTAACTACCAACCAAGTTAAGGATATTATCATCATCCCTGAAGGAACCCTGCTGAAGAGATTGAACCCTGAGAAGAGATTGGTGAGCTGAGAAAGCCATCTCCTCAGAGAGGTGAGGACAAGTTCCCATCCCAGCATGGGCTACGGAACAGGCTGTGTTTGGAAGCAGAAAGGAGGGGGTGGGATTGAAAGCCAGGGAAGGAGAAACCAAATGTGGGGTGAAGGGCCTGGAGAAGACAGAGTCAAAATATGGCTCCAGGAAGCCTCTCATGGGCCACGTCCTCTCTGCTGTCCGGGTGGACTGGGGCATTCGTCTAAGGCTGCTGAGGGACTGAAGGGAGCAGGAGGCTGTTAGTTTGGGGGCTCTGGAGAGTTGAGGGAACTGCTGGGATGGAGATGGAAGTCAGAGGGTGTGGAGTAAGATGGCGGATGTGGCTCCTTGTGGAGACAGGGTTGGAAGTGTGGCGGGGCGGGGCAAGCCTGAGTCTCACCTGCCAGCTTTGCTTGCTCTTTGGTCTCCTCCAGAGTGTCCTTCAGTTTCTGGACCTCGGACCGCAGGGCCTCACAATCCACTTTGGATGTGCCCTGCCTGGCCTCATGCAGATTTGCCTCGAGGTCTTTCGTTGCGCGCTGCAGCTTCTCCAGCTCCGCCTCTTTCTCCATGAAGGTGTTCTGCATCTGTGCCAGTTTCTTCTCCAGCTCATGCAGCCTCTCGTCCTTGTCCTGGAGCAACTGTGGACGTCAGAGGAAGGGATGCTGGGAGAGGCCTAAGCACCGCAGCTGAGCCGCTGGCCTGCCCGGCTGGGATAGCCCAATTCTACCTGTGCCCTTTGCACCCATGATGGGTACCCTCAGGCTAGTCTCACTGCAGCAGCAGCCAGAGAGGACCTTTCAGAGCGCAAGCCAGAGCTGTCTGTGTCCAAAACCCTCTGCTGGCTTTGGCCTTACTTGGCAAAAGGCTCAAGTCTTTACAGCCCTGTCTCAGGAGGCTCACAATCTGGTCTTACCTAGACTACCTGAGCCCGGACCTGTCTCTCTTCAGCTCGCCTCCTGCATCTGGAGGGTCTTGCTGTGCCCTCAGCCCGAACTGCTCTTCCTCAAGATCCCTGCCTTCAGCTCTCTCTGAGTGTTAGCCGTTAGACCGTGGGACCAGCCTGGTGGTTCTCACACTGCGTTCAAATCTCTGCCCAGGGTCACCTGATCAGGGAGGCCGTTCACACAACCCAGTCACCAAGCTGTTTCAGGAATTTGTCGTTTTCCACCTCCACTCTATCAGGGTCACAGGTTATTTATGTCACCGCCCCCTCCCCTGGGAGGATGGGGCTGCTGTGTGTTTTGTGGAATGTGTCTTAATGCGTAGAATGATGATTGGCATATCGTTGGTACTCAAGAGTGCGGAATGCACACACCGAGGACAAAGCCGGGCGCCTATAGAATCCTTACTTTTTGTTGCTCCATTTTCTTTTCTTCTTTCCTTTCTTTTTGGTCTTAGAGAAAGGGTTTCTCTGTGTAACAGCCCTGGCTGTCCTGGAACTTGCTTTGTAGACCAGGTTGGCCTTGAACTCATTGAGATCTGCCTGCTTCTGCCTCCCAAGTGCTGGGATTAAAGACATGAGCCACCACTGCCCAGAAATGCTCCACTTTTCTAGATGTTTCTATTATGCCTGGTGGGCTTCAGTCTTATTTTTTTCTCTTTTTTTTTAATTTATTTTTTTTCAGTCTTATTTTAAAACAAGAGATTTTAATGCCTGTAAACCAACTGTTTTATCTTTAGTAGCGCTGAGGAGAGTCCAGGGTTTGGATGGTGCTGCCCATAAAGGCTTACACTGGTTTGACCATCTTCCTGTTCTCGGCTCTGGTTCTAGGCTTTTCCAGGAACATGTCTATAATAGTGACTGTAGATGCCATGGGCTACAGCATTGCAGCCACAGTAGGCAGAGACGCTCTTGTCCAGACCCCCTTGGCTGTTCCAACCGAGACCCAGGGAATGCTAGCTCACCTTGTCCTTCTTCAGGGCCAGCTTCTGTGTCTCTGTATACTGCTGCTGCAGGTCCTGCATCCGGTGCTGCAGGATGGCAGTCTCCTTGTCCTTCCTCTCGATGTGGGCTGATGCCTCCTCCCGCAGCCCGTGTAGCTCCAGCTCCAGCTTCATCATGTCTGATGTGGGGAAGAAAACACCGCTTAGCCACCAGAGGCGGGGTGCCCTTCTGCTCCATAGCTGTGGCTCGTGGCCCCCCTTTACCCTTCATGATGTTCTTCTTCTGCTCTGACACGGCTTCCAGCTCCATGCGCAGGTCCTTGACAAGGTTCTGGTACTCCTCCACGTGCAGACACTGGCTGTCTTTCTGTTCCTGCAGGTGCTTCAGGATCTGAGTGTTGGGAGGCAGAAGAGTAGGTTGACTGCACAAAGAAACCTCCCTTCCTCCCCCCTCCCTCCCTGCCTACCTTTCCCCCCTCCCTCCTTCCCTCCCCCCTCTCCCTCCTTCCCTTCCTCTCTCCCTCTTTTCCTCCCTTCCATCTTTCCTTCCTTCTTCCCCTCTTTCCTCCCTCCCTTTCTCCATCCCTCCTTCACTCTTATTTCCCTTCCTCCCTCCCTTTCTTCTTCCCTTCTTTTCTCCCTCTCTCCCTCCCTCCCTTCCTCTCTTCCTTCCTTCTTCCCTCCCTCCTCTTCTTGCTTCCCATTTATTTACTGTGCATGTATACACATATGCACATGGGTGTTTGTATATGTGTATGTGTGCCAGAGTTCGATTTTGGGTGTCTTCCTCAATCATTCTCCACCTTATTTTTTGAGGCAGGGTCTCTCACTGAGCTTCACCCACTTGGCTAGACTGGCTTGCAAGATCAGCCTTTCTCTGCCTTCCCAGCTCTGGGATCAAACATGTAACTCCATGTCCCGTCATGTGAGTGCTAGGGATCAAGCCCAGGCCCCCCCCCCACAACATTCCTGTAAGTAACCCCAATACAACTCATTGGTTCATCAAGTTGGACTTTGGTGGTGTCTGTATTTGGCCTGTCATGGGTTCCCTATCTGGGGTGAGTAGATGTGTGTGTGTCTCCACAGGAAAATTCTTGTCACACTACAGATGGTGTGGTCACCACCACTTAGACAAACAGTACGTCATTCGTAGTTCTAAGGAAGATCGTCAAGGTTCAGTATCCATGCCACAGTCACCTGACTTTCTGGAAATTTCTGAAGAGTCTGCCTGCCCACATTAGAGGTCCCCTTGGAGAACTTGAGGTCTGTTTTTTCCTTTCTCGGCTCATTCTCTGTTCCTGCTACACACCTCCTCTCCAGGCAGACCCAGGCAGGCTTGCGTTACCTTCTCCACAGTGTTGTGCTAGCGAGGCTGCTTGTCACAGGCCTCATGCTGAGGCACGGCAGACTCAAGAGTTCGTCTGTGGGGCCTGTGTTTTGACTATCGGTTTACCAAAACCCGTTATTTGTTGACATGGCTTACCTGCTTATTTATTATAAGAAACAACTTGAGACACCGCTCTTAAAAATATTCTATGTGCATGTATGTGGGTTTGTGTGTCGTTGCCCATGGAGGATGGAAGTGCCCGATACTCCCAGAGCTGAAGTGAATGGAGGTTGTGAGCTACCTGATATGGGTGCTGGGCAGTGCACTGCAGGCCTTTGCAACTTGGGTGCTTTTAACTGCTGAATCATTTCTCTAGGCCAAGTTTTGATACTGCTTCAAAGTTATAGAATTAAAGAAATGAATGAGTTTGTATTGATAATTTCCCCCATGTTTGTTCTTTTCAACTCTAGACAGGTCATACACATTTGCAGAGTCTTTCCGAGTCTATCAGGCCAACAGGAGTACTGTCTTGCTTGGATGTAACATTAGAAGTGGACGAGAAGGTGGATGAAGTTCCACGGTTTATCTAATGCTGCCGCAGTCTTTGGGGCTGGAATATGTTATACACAGTAGTATCCTTCGGCATGGCTGGCCGAAGTCACACAAATACAGAACACTTACACACTATGGTATAGAGATTAAAAAGAATCACGGAAATTCAGAAGCAAGCCCCCTTAGTGTAATCCCGCAGAGAAGCAAAGGCGCGTCACCTTTTTGATGTCCTCGCAGTCTTCTGAGGAGGTAGGGGGATGCCTGTGGGTGGCTGTGTAGGAAGCGAAGTCAGCTTGTAATTTTATCAAAGCCTCCTCACGCTCTAGAACCTGCAAGCGGTCATGACCAATCAGGGTGAGTGATCAATCACAGACACACACAGACACACAGACACACACACACACACACTATTACTGTTTTTGCAGTGGGCCCCTCTCTGCAGCATGGGCTGGTGGTATATTTCTATAATTCACTGAACCCTTCCCGCGAGTCGGGATGGAGAAGGAAGAATCGAGCGCTCAGGCTGACGTCAGGCTGTCTAAGGCAAATTTAGTTGACTCCCTTTTTCGTGGCTCCACGGGGAATCTGTTAGGATAATGTTCTAAAGAGAGACACGTACCAAAGCGTTGCTGCAGGCCAGTTTATTCCGAAGCTCCTGGATGAGGTCATCCTGCTCAGAAACCTTTTGCCAAACTTCAGACAGTCGCTTTAGGGTCTCCTGATGCTCTTGAATCATGCACGGGGAAGTGTAGATGCGCACCTTTGAGTGGTCGCCCTTGTTCTCAGGCTCCTGGGACATTCAAAAAGGATGGGTTGGTTTTGTTTGTATTTTGCAAGTCAACGTCAGAGTCTTACTAGACTCGTGTTCTAAAAGTGTGTGTTCGCCTTCAGTTAGCAGGATGTCCTTAACAGAAGGAAAACATCAACCAGCACAGACACAGATGAAGTCCTTGGTGTTCTCAAGAGCATACACTCTGTACCCCTCGTGACTCAGGTCCCTCTTCTGTGACATCCTGTGCTACCAGTGTTTTCAGGAGCTGTGAAGTGGCATGCTAGGCATATCTGTGTGTGCGTGTCTAACCCAACTTGTGTCCTTTTACATACGAGAGTGCGGCTGCGCACAGTGGTAATGATTGTCCTCATTTGACAGTTCGCCAAGGACATTTTCCACAATTATTTGTAGATCTGTGTGTGTGTGTGTGTGTGTGCTCATGACTCGTGTGTGTGGGAACCAGAGGTCAACATTCGGTCTCTCACTCAATCATTCTCTGGTTTATTTTTGGAGACAGACTTTCCTATTGAACTTGGAACTCACAGATCTGGCTAGACTGGTTGACCAACAAGCCCCAGGGATTCTTTTTGTCTTTATTTCTTCGATGCGGGGTTTCCAAGAGTACCTTCAAGCCTGACATTTTTTTGTTTTGTTTTTCGAGACAGGGTTTCTCTGTAGCTTTAGAGCCTGTCCTGGAACTCACTCTTGTAGACCAGGCTGGTCTCGAACTCACAGAGATCCGCCTGCCCCTGTCTCCCGAGTGCTGGGATCAAAGGTTTGCACCACTACCACCCGGCCAAGCTTGACATTTTTATGTGGCTCCTGGGATTCAAACCCTTCTCATTGTACTTGTAGAATAAACCTTTCCTGAGTCCTCTCCTCCTAGTCTGTCTTGTTCTCAAAATTAGTTTAAAATTACAGAAGTATTTGTGTCTGTCGTCTCTTTAAAAAAAAAACATTGTGACATTGTAGGCAAGTGTATATTTTTCTTTGACTATTACCTCTAGTCCTGTGCCCTCTCTTTATAGCGAGGACAAACAGTGCACACACTTCTAAGACATTATTTCTATACTTATGTTATAAACAAATCTATAGGATAATGAGTTATGTTGGACTAAAAATGGATTTTGAAACCTAAGATGTCGCAGAGATTTACTCATGGTATAAATTCTTCTATTCTACCTTGTCCTTTCTAATTGTTTTAAAATGCATTTATTCAATCTCTTGTTGATGGGCATATAGGATATTTATGTTTCTTTTTTTTTCTAAAATAGAAGCTGAATTGAATGCTTTTGCACATCAGTCTTTGAGTACCTGTTTGGCAAGTATGTAGATTAAATTTCTAGTATTGGGACTGTAGTTTATGGCCCAAACTGAAATATGTTTTGCCAAGATGTTTTTAGTGTGTGTGAACGTGCATGCCGGTGTATATGGACACCAGGGGAAAACCCATGAGTCATCTTTAGGGACACTTTCCCCCTCCTTTGAGACAGGGTGTCTCATTGGCCTGGAACTCACCAATTAGGCTAGACTGGCTGGCCAGTGAGCCTCAGGGATCTTCCTCTCTCCAGTTCCCCATGCTCAGATTGCAAGCATGCACCACCACACTCAGCGTTTGTACATGGGTTCTGGGGATCAAACTCAAGTCCAAGGGCTTTCCTGACAGAGCCACCTCCTCAGCGCCACTAGATCTAAAAGTTCTCCGTAGACAGCTGAAGTTGCGTGAAGTTTGCTATCCATCTGTAGTAGTAATGTCTGCAGTAGTAATGGGGGGAACTGTTGTGGGGTATTTGTACCCTGTGCGAATATGTATTGCTGTGATTGGTGTAATAAAGAACTGACTGGCCAATAGCTAGGCAGGAGGTATAGGTGGGACTTCCAGGGACAGCGAGGACTCTGGGAAGAAGAAAGGTGGAGATGCCAGGAGATGCAGAGAAAGCAGGATGTGCAGGAGGAGAGGTAACAGCCATGAGACACATGGCCTAACATAGATTAATATAAATGGGTTAATTTAAGTTATAAGAGCTAATTAAAAACAAGCCTGAACTATAGGCTGAGCTTTCATAATTAATTAGAAGTCTCCGTGTCATTATTTGGGGGCTGGATGGACAGACAAAGACTTGTCACAGGGAACTGAGGCACATAGTTAAACTAGCTCGGAGTTCCAGGGTGGATGGTGGATCTCGGCCCCAATACACTGTTCTCCCTAATCCCTAACTCCTGAAGCAAGCTAATTTTAGAAATAGTTCACGTTCATTGAGCGTGAAAGTTGCTGGAGAAAGGTCAGTCAGCAACCCAGAACTGGTCACAGATGATGCTTATGTAAATAATTTAGCACACAGGAGGCGAAAGATTGGGAAACATAATAGAAAAAAGGACACAGCAAGAAAATACCTACAGGTGCTAATATCATCTTAATTCTATAGGATAAAAATGTCTGGTAAGGATATAAACAGTTTTATCTTCAACTTGAGAAAAAGTTATTAACGAGAAACTGGGAACAGCCTTGTGTTTAATGTGAGATCTAGGAACACTTTCTTTTTTTTAAATTTTGATTTTTAATTTTTTTATTCATCTATTTATTTTACATCCCAGCCACAGCTTCCCTCCACATTCTCCTCTCCAGTCCACCCCCCCCCACTCTAATCCCCCAATCCCTTCCTCTTCTGTCTCCATCCAGGAAAGGACAGGTCTCCCATGAATATCAACAAAACACGGCATAACAAGTTGCAGCAAGACTAAGCCCCTCCCCGTGTATTCAGGCTGGGCAAGGCAACCCAGTATGAGGAGTAGGGTCCCAAAAGTCAGTAAAAGAGTTGGCGACAGTTCCTCTTCCCACTATCAGGAGTCCCATAAGAGGACCAAGCTATACAACTGTAACATACATGCAGAGTGCCTAGGTCAGTCCCATGCAGGCTCCCTGGTTGCCTGTTCAGTTTCTGTGAGCCCCCATGAGGCCAGGTTAGTTATATGAGCCTTCCTGTGAAGTCCTTGACCCCTCTGGCTCCTACACTCTTTTCTCCTCCTCCTCCTCTGCAAGATTCCTGAACTCTGCCTGTTTGGCTGTGGGTCTCTGCATCTGCCTCTCTGATGACAGTTGGGCCAGGCACCAATCTGGTCACAGGAGGCGGCCAGTGCAGGCTACTTATCCACTATTGTTAGGAGTCTAAACTGGGGTATGCCCCATAAACTTCTGGGAGATTTCCCTGCACCAGGCTTCCACCCAACCCAGAAATGCCCCCAGCAGTTCCCCCCTAGCACTCTCTCCCCTCTGTCCTACCCGCTTCAGTCACTCACAAAATCTCTCTGTTTCCCCTTCCCAGGGAGGTCTGGGTGTCTCCCCATGAACCTTCCTTGTTACCTAGTCTCTCTGGATCTGTGGATTACAGCATGGCTATCCTTTATTTTACAGCTAATATCCACTAGTGAGTGAGCACATCCCATGTTTGTCTTTCTTGGTCTGGGTTACCTCACTCAAGATGATTTTTTTTCTAGTTCCATCCATTTGCCTTCAAATTTCCTAGTGTCTTTGTTTTTAACAGCTGAGTAATACTCCATTGTGTAAATGCACCACATTTTCTTTATCCATTTCTCAGTTGAGGGGCATCTAGGTCGTTTAGGAAAACTTTAACGCGAGGAACAAAGACGCTCTGAGAGGCAATTCAGTCCAATGAGACGGAACTCACGGTTGTTAACCACCCCCATCTCTTTTTGAGACAGAGCCTCTCTATATAGTCCTGAATGTCCTGGAACTCACTCTGTGGACCAGGCTGCCCTCAAACTCACAGAGAGGTCTCCTCTGCCTCCCAAGTGCTGGGATTAAAGGGAAATGTGTCTGGATGGGCTGCAGCTGCCCGCTAAGGTGTGTGGTCCCTACCTGGCCAATGATTCCACTGAGTTCCCCCTCCAGCATCTTCACTTGACATTCCAGCAGCTCGATGTTGCTCAGGGAGGTCTGGTACTTGTCCCTGTAGAGGTTTAGGCTCCGTTCTAGGGAGATAATCTTGTCCCCCGCCAAGGCGAGCTGCTCTTGCGCCAGATGGAGCTTCTCCCCGGTGTTCTTATTATGGTTCCCCATTTCCTCCTCATAGAGAATGACCTGTAAGTGTGGGAGGGGAACCGCGCTGAACCCATGCAAGAGGCCAACCAGGAAGGGAGGGCTAGGACCTTGAAAGTCCATAGCAAGTGCCTCTAAACTAGAAGCCCCAGTGAACAGTGTAAGTACAACACAGGTCTAAGTGCCCTATCATTTAGTATCAGGTTGTTAGCTTCTGGAGCACTAAATAGGCTCAACTGCTTAGAACTAAGCTCTTAAAGACAGCGATGTGTCTTCTGTTCTCTCTGACATTCGGTAGCGATGGAATAAACACCTACTGATTAGTAGGAATAAGTTTGAGCCATTCCCTTTCCTGAAAGGACTTGGAATGCCCATGTCCTTCCTTGGCTGGGCTCTCTCTAGGGATCTAATTTGGAAAGAATAGAGTCCCACATGCACACGGTTTCGTGTTGGCAAGTTCCCAAGAGATAGTGAGGGGCCATGATCCGAAGTTCCTCTGAGATCTGCATGGTCCTTATGTAGATGACTTTTCTAATCTGTCATCTGATAGGTATCTCTAGGATGCTCGCGAGCGTCCCACTGAGTGAGGACAAGCTCTCCACATGGGAGACACAGCCTCACCTCTCCCACAATCTTGAGGAGGCCCGATTTGAAATTAGCAAGTTACTGTCTACAGCTGAGTGTGCTGAGTTGCACGTCGAGTTATGTGTGTTTCGAGGAGTCTGCAGGAGATATGCCATGGGAGGCTTCATGTGTTTCAAACTGTCCAACTCTGGACAGAAATTGGCCCATTAATTAAGCCGGTTAAACTAACTGCCTCACCCGAGATCCCTCTTAGGAAAGGATTATTTAGTTGACGGTGTCTGTTAGGGAGAGAGGAGAGAGGGGCGTTTGATATTCATGTGTTACAGCAGAAAGGGCTGGCTCTACTCACATTCCTGTAGCGTTTCCTATTTTTAAACATGTATATGTGTGTGCTTGCACATACACATGTGTCTATATGTAGTATGTGTATGGGGCCAGCTCTGCTGGTAGCCATGTAAATTCGTTTGAGGACCCCTGAAGACAGTGAATTCTGAGCGTTGGCTATTTCTTTGCACACAGCCCTTTCCAGCGCCAAGCACTTTTGGCTGCTTGCTCCTTCAGCCAGAGGGGAAAGGTAGGGGAGACCTGTTGACGAGTGAATACCCCCAGGAGTGAATGCCAGTGGTGTGAGTTGGGGGGTCCACTCTGAGGACTGTTCCCCAATATCTTCCAGAGCTCCCCAGGGGTTGAACCCTGGTTGCCTAGAGCAAGTCATCGACTTCATTTGACCAGACCTCCCCATGCTTCTGGGAATCACTTCCTGGATTCAGTACATGACGGTGTCCATAGACTCATCTCAGGGCCTGCTGCTGGCAGAACACAGCCTCAGACAAGGGTGCGATGCTTCTGTGTTTAAAGACGTCAAGGGAGGTAAACAGAATGTTTAGAAAACATTTCGTTTTTCCAGATTGCGGTCTCTGACCTCTGCTTGCCAAATGCTGTCCTTAGTCTCCTCCTTAATAGCTAAATGTTAATTTGATTTTGACTGGGGGCAGCAATATGTCTCCCAAACACATTTCTTGGCTTCCTAGGAACTAGCATTAGTCTGTCTGTCTGTCTGTCTCTCTCTCTCTCTCTCTCTCTCTCTCTCTCTCTCTCTCTCTCTCTGTAACTTCTGGCAAGTGTCCTTAAAAGGAAAACGTACTTTCTTCCCCCTTCCCTTTCGCCTGGGTTATTTGGAATAAGAATGTGATTGCCGGAGTTCTGGCAGCCACTTCAGGGGACCCAGGGAATGGACGTCTTAAGTGGATGGAAGGATAAAGCTAAAAGTCAGACTTTAGGATCCTGGTGACACATGCAGTTGTCACAACAGCAACAGGCCACCTGCCTCTGACTGTCGCTAACAGCTCTTTCTGGTCCTTGCTGCTAAGTAGCATCCCAGCTAATTCGGGGGTGCTTTATCCAGGTTGGGCTCTGGTGTAGGGTGCAGTGAACAGCCAGTTGGAACACTTAGAGCTTTGTTAAACCACAGTCGAAGCTCGCAGACTTCCCCCAAATGACATTTTGCAGGATAACCTTTCTTTCTTCCTTTCCCATCCATTTTCACAAACTCTTTCTAAGCCATACTATGCCCTTTAAAGAATTTTCTGTGCTCTCTGTATGGCCCTCTTTCAAGCCCCTGGAGTTAGTCTTTAAGGAAAAACACTGTCTAAAATACTCCTTGGAATTTTCGTTAAGTCTGAAAGAAGAAACTGTCAGGGGCAGGCACGCCTGTGAGTCTGCCTGCCCCATTACTTCAGAGCCACAGTGCTAAGACTGCCTACGCCCCTTCTGCCAAGCCGAGCCGAGTCCTGTGGGTCTTTGGAATGTACTTGGAATTTCACTGGGATAATGGTCGTTGCTTTAAAAAAATATTGCTCTGGAGCACCAATATAAGTGAATGCGGAGAATGCACTTACGCTAAGTCTGTAGCTCTAAAACTCTAGCCTGAAGAACAATATGGCCCTTAGTGACCCACTCCAAACTGGGGCTGGACATCTTACCATTTGTGCGGTGCCAGGGATTTATATAGCTCCCAAAGCCAACTTTCCTAAAAACACCCGACTTAATGGATCTTTTACTTTTTTTTTCTTTTTTAACTCTGAGAGAGCTGGAGTCTTTTGTACTTTAACAGCCATAACAATATGGAGAAGATGGCCTCTCACGCATAGATACACCACATGTGTGTGTGCAGGAGCCCCACCCTCCGCACGCATTAATACCGGCTCTCTCAACCTAGTCCTGCCAGTTCTTAGTTTCCTCTGCTAACCTTCAGGTGGGTCATGCACTAAGGAGGGGGGCTCTTAGGTCTGCTCCAGGTGGTGCAAGGCCCTCCCTTTGAAATGTGGTGCTTGCCTGCCGTTGGGGAGGGAGTGCTGGAGGTGTACGGGCACCTGGGAGCTCAAGCTCAAGATACCTCATCTTCCTTGAGCTTGCAGTGATGGTGAAGAAGAACCAGGTCGGAGGTCTGCTTCTCCAGGATGGACTGGTACTGCAGCAGCGAGCAATAGGAGGTCTGCAGCTCCTGGGTGCGGAACTCCAGCTCCTGCTGCAGGGCCAGCAGCTTCTTCTTCAGCTGCTGCAGCTGCCTCAGGTGACACTGCTTATTGGCACCGAAGTCCACATGGGTCTCCTTGAAGACTAGCGTCTGGGCTTGCTTCTTCTTCTACAGCACGGGCAGGAATGTAGAGAACAGGGTTAGAGGCCACAGAGCGGCCTTTTTGTGTTTGTTCAACCATTCACATCCAGCTCTCCACCCTCTGATGCTTTCATCCACAGAGAAATGTCTAAACATTTCTTTACATGCCTCGAGCACTGTATCACTTCATATTCCTATTTTGCGAGAAGGAATCAAAAGAAGAAATGACCCTTCTTGGAAAAAAGTTAAAATGACATTTATTTATTTGTTTGTATGGTTGGGTGGGTATGCAACCTACCGTGGTCGACAAGCGGAGGTCAGAGGGCAACTTTTGGGAATTGGTTTTCTCCTTCCACCAACTCAGGCCATCAAGAATGGTGGCAAGTCCCTTTATCCACTGAGCCATCTCACTGCCCTGCGTCCCCAATCCAGAGCTATTATTCATGTAGGCCAGAAGAAAAGCAATCATTCATATAAAGGATCTATAGAGATATGGTTAACTCTGTGCTTACTTGTTTCAAGCATGTGGAAAGAAGACAAGCTTGGGCTGGGAGGAAGTAAAGTTTTGGTCAATGGTTCCTGAAGTGACTTAAGTATTAAGAGTACCCAGGTAACAGAGCTAAGTTTGTGGGAGGAGACATGAAATTCCCTCCTATAGAGTGAGCCGTAAGTTCCAATAGACAGCTGTGGGCTACCCACAAGACGGAAGTGGCACTCTTGCTCCGCTGAAGGTATCTCACTGGGCTGGTGATTGCTGTAGTTTGTTGAGTTTCCAGCTTTGTAGGACCACGGATTGCTTTTTTTTCCCGGGCACCTCACACAGCACCTTCCAATGCTGCTCCAGTCAGCCTTCAGAAGGCTTCCAGGTCAGTTCCAGCTCAGTTCCTCCAAGTCCTGTGTTCAAGTGTGTGGTGCGCACAGCACTAGGATCTTAAAGATGCCTTTGCTTATGGAGGACACTGGATGAGGGCTGATAGGCAAGGGAGGACATAAGAGTATTACCTGCAGCCTAGCCTAGAGCAACGGTGTGCTGCCTTCCTAGGCTCAGGTATGTTTCTTTCTGTGTAGCTTGCGCCGTGTGAATTTCTGTGCTGTGTGAAGGGGGGCAGTCAGGCCAGTTCAGGTGGAATATGGGACCTTAACATGAGCATGAGTTTCCATTCACCTTCTGCCATGCAGATCAGGCAGCCTCGGTTGACAATTCAGTCCTGGCCTAGTCTAGAGTCACAGGGCAATGGGCTGAGTTTCTTCGGTGTCATTCCAAAGCCTGGCCTGGTCTCCATCATGATTTCCAGGTCTGTCTGGGACTTTGTAGGGAGGAAGGCTGACTCCAAGGAGGGAGAAGAGGTGACAACCCTCACTAACTTCCCCTATCACTACCGTGATGTGCTCAGCAATCGAGTTTTACCTTCAGGTTCTGGGAGACGACTAAGAGCAACGATGGCTATATTGTTTTTCAGTCTCTTGGACTCAAGGCATTACAAATAATGTTTTGATAGTTTTGTTGAAGTTTAATAATTTATAAATGATAAAAATCCTGCCATTGATAAGTATGCAATTTCTTTTTTTTGTTGTTTTCTTTTTTTTATTTTATTTATTTATTAATGATTTCTGTCTCTTCCCTACCGCCGCCTCCTCTTTCCCTCCCCCTCCCACAACCAAGTCCTCCTCCCTCGTCAGCCCAAAGAGCAATCAGGGTTCCCAGCCCTTTGGAAGTCCAAGGACCACCCACCTCCATCCAGGTCTAGTAAGGTGAGCATCCAAACTGCCTAGGCTCCCACAAAGCCAATAGGTGCAGTAGGATCAAAAACCCATTGCCATTGTTCTTGAGGTCTCAGTAGTCCTCATTGTCCGCTATGTTCAGCGAGACCGGTTTGTGCTCAATTTGTAAAATTATGAGAGCAGGCTGTGGACATGGCTCCGTTAGTAAAGTACTTGCTGTACAAGCATCAAGGCCGGAGGTCAAATCCCCAGAAGCCATGTAAAAGCCAAGCATTGTCTTTGGAGGCTGTAGCAATAGCCCTGGTTATGTGGGGAGAGAGTAGAGACAGGTGGATAGACAGACTGCCCAAGCTTGTTAGCCAGCTAATCGGTGATCTTTGGATTCAGTGAGAGACCCCATCTCAAGAGAGAAAGTGGGATAGTGGAAGGCATCTCGTGTGGCCTCTATAAGCACAGATATCTGCACATGTGCATTCTACACACACACACATACATATCTTTCATAGCGTTTACAAAGGACACACGGCACAGTCTACCGAAAGTCAGCTGTAAGAAAGCCAAACCAGGAGCAGAGAAAGTGCACAGGAGGTGGCTATGGAAGAATCTGGCAAGGAGAGAGTGGTCTGGAGCAATGTCGTAGTAGTGGAAGTTAGGAGAAATGGTTGGATCCTAGATCTATTTTGAAAATAGAGCCTTCAGAATTCACCGCTGAGTTAGATGTTAGGCTGTGGGGGAATCATGGTAGTCCAGACAAGAGTGACTGGAGTCACTGGAGAGATGGAATTTTAATGAAGTTTAGTTGAGATCCTAGGGTAAGAAACCGTAGGTGAGAAGGGTGGTGGTGGCAAGGATGAGTTACTGACAGCCTAGCTCAGGACCACAAAGACAAATCCTGATGGTGTCAGCCCAATCGGTGTTCCTTTTTCCCAGCCCCTTTTGAAACTGACCTTGCTTCCCATGGCTTGGAATTCAGAAGATGGACAAGAAATGAACCATGGTTGTCACCAAGCAAAAGAAATATTCAGCAAAGACAAGTTTAATATTTGGATCCAGTAATTTATGAATGCTGCCCCTAGGAAGGGGACGAAATCTGTATTTACAGAATGTAGTTGTGATTGTCTGTGTTTATACAGAATCCTGTTAGGTGCGTTTAGTCTCCCCAAGCTAATGTTGCCGTTCTCACAACTCGCTTGCTAATGAGGTTTGGAGAAGAGGGAGTTGGGCATGCGTGTGGATGTGTGTGACACACACACTCTCTCTTCTCTTTCTGTCTTTCTGTCTGTCTCTCCATCTACATATACCCCACACAGACACACAAATGTCTCTACAGGGAAGGATCCAAGATCTCAAATCCTTTTTTCTATACAGATAGAGGGGCTATTGGGAGCTACATAGGAAAAAAAAAATAAACTTCTTGCAGCTAAATAATGTGGGCAGAGCTAAAGTGTGGCGTGAACATTTTAAGTTTAGAGCTGATTTTGAGGGACTCGCTTCAATGAAGAGAACACCCCAAGTCCCAATCATTTGAGCTCGTCATTTTTTTCTCTTGCCTTTTTTTTTTTTTTTTTTTTTTTTTTTTTTTTT